AAACACCAACTAATCCTACCCTTGACTAAACAGCTTTATATCAGTGACAGGTTTATATATGGTGTACAGATCGAAAGGTAACACAGAAATAGTAAAAACTTTTATTTTAATCACAGAGGTAACACTTAGCACCTCCTGATGTAAGTACTCACCTGTGTGTACCATCACCTGTCCTGACTCGAGATCTTAGAGCTGGCAACTCACACGCGAACCATAAACACCGATAAAGGAGGAGAACGATGAATGATGTAGAGGTGAGTTTAGGTGAGGTGAGGTAAGGTGAGGTGAGGTTAGGTGAGGTGAGGTTAGGTGAGGAAGTGAATATTTAGATTGACAAAAAAATGTGCGGCAGTGCGAGGCCTTGGGTGGTGACAGAGAGAGGGGAGGGAGAGAGGCAGACAGGGAAGGAAGAAGAGAGAGAGGGAAGGGGGAGGGTAGAAGGAATGGAGTAAGGGAGGGAGAGAGGGAAGGTGGGTAAGAGGGAGGGAGAGCGAGGGGCAGGGAGAGTGAGAGGGAGGGTAGGAGGGAGTCAGGGAGGGAGAGAGGCAGGGAGGCAGGCAGGGAGAGAGGGAGGGAGGGGACTGGACTTGCTCACCTCATGGAAACTTTACGAGTATGTGTGTACGATGCAGTTGATTTTTTTTTTCCCCTCGACGGTCACATCTCACTCTCTCACTCTCTCACTCTCTCACTCTCTCACTCTCTTCCCTAAATTTCCCACACGTTCTTTCCCGTTTACCTCCCCTTTCTCTCTCTCTTATTCTCTCATTTTCCCCCCGCATCATCATCATCATCATCATCATCATCATCATCATCCTTTATTCTCCTTTCTTCCCTATTTTGATTAATTATCGTTTTTTCCTCTTCATACACTCTCATACATCCTCTTCCCTGTTTTCATGTCCCTCTTTTACACTATATTCTTTGCCTCTCATCTCCATTTTAATCTTCTCTCCTCCCCATCCCCCCCTCCACCCATCCCCACCTCCTCCCCTCTCTCCTCATCTACTTTTATACTTCCTCTCCCCCCCTCCTAAAATTTCCTTCCACCCCCCTCCCTTCTCTCTCCCCCTCCTCCTCCTCTCCTTTCCTACTTCATTGTATTACCAGATTTCCATACTGTAATTGAAGCCGCCTGTCCCTTGTCTGTTTATTTTTTGCCACAATACCATATAAAATGTCTCGTGTGGATTTCTGTTTATATTTTGAGTTAGACAGGACTATGTTGCTGCTTGTCGGTCGATACTGCCATGTTCCCAATTCCCCCACACGTGATTCCCAGGTAAATATAAGCAGCATCTAGTTTGGTGATTTCTTTTATTTGGTATTGTTTATATGTAGATGTGGTAATAGCTTTTATTTATTTTTTTTGTGGGGGGGGGGAATTTTTTTTTTAAGTTGTGATTATGAGTTGGTTATATTTGTTATTGTTATTGTTGTTGTTATTATTATTATTATAGTTTTTGTTGGTGGTGGTGTTGTTGTATTTCACTGTAAATTAAGGTAAATAGCTATAGTTTACGCACAGTATACGTGTTCTCTTCACTGTTGCCAAATCGTAAATACTAAAAATTATCTTACCTGACCACAGATGACACACTTACACTGTTTACAAGCCTTCCTTTAAGCTTAATGATGTAATGTGTCTGTAGCTTAGGTTACCAAACTCAAGCTTCAGATTAAAGGAGAAATGTCTCGATTGTATTTTGAATGACAATTGAAATTAGAAATAAATAAAATACAACTTTTAACCCATATCAACAACAAGTGTGGGGCTTCTAGCTAAATACTCTTCACTAACACTACTCGTTATAAAGACCAAATATAATCTAATATAATTTTATACCTATTAATTCTTCCTTATGCTTTGTAATCATTCGTAACAAGATCAAATTCAATCGAAACTTTGTAACACGATACATTAATTGAAGGTTTGGTTGAAATGATGTGTAAAAAAAAAAAACCTACTTCTTCTGGCCGGTGGTGGTGGTGGTGATGGTGGTGGTGGTGGTGGTGATGGTGATGGTGGTGGTGGTGATGGTGGTGGTGGTGGTGGTGGTGGTGGTGGTGATGGTGGTGATGGTGATGGTGATGGTGGTGGTGGTAAGTTGGCTATCTCTGTTATACCTGTGTGTGTGTGTGTGTGTGTGTGTGTGTGTGTGTGTGTGTGTGTGTGTGTGTGTGTGTGTGTGTGTGTGTGTGTGTGTGTGTGTGTGTGTGTGCTGTTTTGTTTGTTTGTTTATTGTTTGTTTATTTTATTTAATTTTATTTTGCTGATTTATTTATTGATTTATATGAAACGTTCTTCGTATGTAAATCACCCTCGTCTGCTTGTTGGATAGTTCATGCGATTAATTCATTAAGTGTTCGAGCCAACGTGTAGTATTATTAGTAAATCATATGACAGTCCCTTACCTTACCTTGAGAAGACCACACCACACCACACCACACCACACCATACCACACCACACCACACCACACCACACCACACCACACCACACCATACCACACCACTCAGACCAAAACTGTATAACCTAGTCGATAGATCCCTTCATAATGACCTCCTTTGTCATTATATTTGGTAATCTTTTTATTTTAGATGGTTCGTACGTCCTATTAATTTCTCGCGTTGATCTGGTTACCGTCAGGATAATAAATGCATCACCTGTAAATCCTTTCTTTGTACTCTTTAGAATTTATTGATCGTCTGTGTCACCTAAACCCGTTCTGAGTCCATTTGATGTGTCTCATGATCTTAATTATATGTCCAAATTATAGGTTTTAGTCTCTTTCTATGTCGAACAAACACACACACACACACACACACACAAACCCACACACACACACACACACACACACACACGTTCTTCCTCTGGTCTTCGCTATGTAAACGATATCTTTGATCTCTTTACTCCTAGTTCCCTGCTCCTTCCATGCCTCTCCTAACTCTTTCAACAACCTGGCGTGTCTTGATGGTTCCACGAAGGAGAAATCAAACTTCGGAACTCCACTCAGAATATGACAAAGTAAACAAGGAAAAAAATGATCTTGATAATGAAATCCAGGATGTTGATTTTTATGTAAGGAAACAGCAAGAATATTACATGTAAACAATACTTATAATACAAGTGTGAAATTATGAACCGGGATTTAAAATTACCTTAAAATGGTTCAAGAGATTATGTCAATATCTTTCATTTTTACCCAATTTTCAGGGGAATATTTCTTTTTTTTTTAATTCACGTCCATGAGTCAAGTTCACAGAGATTCTTTTATTTTTCTCTAAACCTCATGGATAATGGTGTCTTAAAGTCCACCATTATTCTTAGCACACTTAGCATGTAAATAAAGACGCTTCAGCACTCTACCTTCTGTGTTTCTCGTATCCGTGGAGCTGAATACCAACGATGGATAGCAGTCTTTTCACTCCTCATATATTCTAAAGAGACACTTCTGTACCCTCATTCATCTTCCCGTAAAGAAATCTCTACTCAATGCTATTCGTTATCTGCTATAGTACACTGCATCACTCTCAGCCTTTCAATATCATCAGCTCGTTTCCTCGATATCTTCTTAACCCTGGATAGGCTTTTTCCTTTCTCTGTCATTTCTAAACAACTCCTAGATAACCAGTATCTCGTTATGACTTAGCCTGTGTCATCGTCATCATCATCATCATCATCATTATCGTCATCATCATCATCATCATCATCATAACAAATTAGTCCAAAGGGAAATTTGATTCGAGTTCTGTATTAAATTGTCTTAAGAAACAAAACACACACACACACACACACACACACACACACACACACACACACACACACACACACACACACACACACACACACACACACACACACACACACACACACACACCTCTATACGTGTGTTGTGTGCATCTCAGACCTTTTAAGGATATCTTGAGTGGTTAGGTTAGGTTAGGTTAGGTTAGGTTAGGTTAGGTTAGGTTAGGTTAGGTACGAAAGCTTGGACGTTGAAAATGACATATTGTAAATACGTACAGACACCCAAATAACTATCTGTACTTGGGGTGATCAATAAATTTCACAATGAACACTCCGACTCCTGTTGTCTCGGTAGGGTTGTCAAAATTCTTCGTCCATTGTGTCATATTTATTCAACACAATTTTGCATCGATAGTTTTTTAGTGTTTATTAAAGTAGATTATACAGACCCCTTACATCCGCCATCACCTATCATCTGCCTTAATTCCATAGTTCACTGTCTAAAGAAAGGTACTGTCACCCTCACTGTCTAAAGGAAGGTACTGTCACCCTCGGATATCTAGCAGCGCATCTGTCATACTTTCTTGCACCCGGTAAATGACAGGTGCGTGATATATCGTAACCTCGCAGCGGAAGGTAAATCAGACGAAGGCAGTGGAGAAGAGCTTTAGGGTATATTTACTGAATGGTAATATAATTGTAGGAGTATCTTTTAGTTTTGTGATGAGAGAGAGAGAGAGAGAGAGAGAGAGAGAGAGAGAGAGAGAGAGAGAGACCATTACTCGACCTTCGCTAATATAAAGTCTGAACTCTTCGAATATTCTTCTTCTATCCCCAACTTCGAGAACCTCAACTTTGTTTTCATCTATCTCTTCATTCATCCGTCTCCATATCGTTCATTCCATACACTGACTTCCAGCTATTCCAAATAATTCATTTTATTTTTTCCATTTTTTTCCATAAAGTAGAACACCAACACCCGCCTTGGGCAAAATATTCTGAAAATCCGCTTCACTGAAAATTTTTCCAAATAGCACAACTGTTTATCTGTCAGGACTTAACCTACGTCACTTATGGAATAATCTTACCCAAGTGGTGCTCATTTAGGGGTGGGTATTGTGGCTTTAAAACCCTATTGAGCACAAGAAAACTTTCACAGAAGTAAAAAGGTGGTGGAGAGCGCGTGTGCGGGCGGCGCAGGGTGTTGGGGCTAGAGTGGCCAGGCAGCACCAGTTTCCTCCGTGACGCCGGCCAGGGAGGGTGTGTGAGAGTGTGTCCTAGTGTGGCACAGCCGCTCACTCTCGGCTGCTCAATACTTACTGTAACCCACCAGCATCGTGTGTCGGCTGTTGACACTCAAGATCTGTGTCTGTTGAGTGGTCACTTGTGCATACCGGGGGAATGATTCTTATTCTTTTAGTGCTACAGTAAATGACAGTACTAAAAAAAAAAACATCAATGTATTCTCTCTCTTTCCTCTGGCATGAAATTTGGGTCATTCATTTTAAAGGATCATTAATTCCTAAGTTGCTGCCTCCTCTTCGCAAGATTTATGGGTGAACCTTTGAAGGAAAAAAAGTGATAAACCATCGAATTTTTTTTATAACCTCTGACATAAACAGAAAGTTGGATATAAGAAAACAGTAATAATCTTTGTATAAATAATCCCATTAATGAGTTAACAATGTGTCTGTTTATAATTCAACTGATTTTCGTAATGAAGTGATTTTTAAGGACCATCAGGGTGGTGATTAAGACCTGGTGAAGAGGTTGTAGGAGAAGGCAGTGTGCCGTCAGGATATATGTGATCTAGTGAACGGGGCCTCCCAGCTGGTCCAGTTGGCACTGGTGAATTGTCCTAATGATGGTCCAGCTGGTAGAGTAATGGCCTTGACGGTGGTCCAGCTGGTAGAGTGGTTGGCCCTGACAGTGGTCCAGATGGCTGAGTGAAGGGGCCCTGACGTAGTAGAGTGAAGGACCCTGAAACTGGTCCTCTTGACAGATAGACAGGGCTAACCAGTGATCTCAGTGACCGAGAACTTGGTCACTAGTGGTCCAGCTGGGTCAAGGCGTTTGAGGGCACCCAACCACTGTCAACCACATTACCATGACGGCATACAAGTTGCTCGTTCTCATGGCCGTGGTAGTCTGCCTGCACGCCACAGAGGAAACTGATGGTGAGTGTTGATGTTACTTCTATCCAGCCAAGTGTGTTGCTGACTGACGGTGTGTTGCTGACTGACAGTATCCCAGTGTGTTACTGACTGACATTTTGTTTCTGACTGACAGTTAAAACTCAGTGTAATAGGGAGTGATAGTTCACACACAGCTCATATTGTGGTTGATGGTACGTGCATAGATATAGTGGTTGATGGTACGTGCATAGATATAGTGGTTGATGGTACGTGCATAGAGATAGTGGTTGATGGTACGTGCATAGAGTTACCGGTTGATGGTACGTGCATAGAGATAGTGGTTGATGGTACGTGCATAGAGATAGTAGTTGATGGTACGTGCATAGAGTTAGTGGTTGATGGTACGTGCATAGAGTTACCGGTTGATGTTACGTGCATAGAGTTACTGGTTGATGGTACGTGCATAGATATAGTGGTTGATGGTACGTGCATAGAGTTACTGGTTGATGGTACGTGCATAGAGTTTGTGGTTGATGGTACGTGCATAGGTTAAAGATAGTGGTTGATTTTCCTTTTACAACACCCAAATAGTGGTTGCTAGTACGTACACATATCAGACTCCGATAGTTGTTAGTGGAAACGTTTCTCACAGCCAGATGGTGGTAGAGAGTACATATATCACAGCCAGATGGTGATAGAGAGTAGATATATCACAGCTAGATGGTGGTAGAGAGTACATATATCACAGCTAGATGGTAGAGAGTAGATTTATCACAGCCTATAGAATTGACAGGTGTTGACAGAACGTTTTACACAGAAGATTGCGTAAACGTTTCCTGGTGTCCCAACTGTATACACAAACGTTATAGCCAGTGGGTGCTGACCTATCACACTAGCGACAGGTTGATGATAGCTTCAACACCTACAGCTAACACCTACAGCTAATACCTGCAGTTAACACCTACAGCTAACACTTACAGCTAACACCTACAGCTAACACCTACTGGCAAATAAAAAATAAAAACGTAAAAAAAAAATTAATTAAATTAAAACCTGAACGTGATTTTTTATATATATGGGATTTTTTGACAAATAAAAGAAATAAAAAAAATTAAAAACTGAACCTGATTTTCATTTTATACATGGAATTTTGTTAAGTGTTTTTTATGGGATTTTCTTTGGTATTTTATTTCCTATGGATTATTTTCGTTTCGAGTTTCAGAAAAATCTATCTGGTTTTTAATTTGTGAGTAGAGGTGAATGTCTTTCTCGTTTATGAATAATTTATAGATTGTAGATACATTTATATATTTTCTGACAGGAGGGAAAGGCAAGTGTCGGAGCGCTAATAATAGAGATAGAGAGAGAGAGAGAGAGACAGATGGAGAAGAGAGATAATAGGGAAAGGGAGAGAGAGAGAGAGAGAGAGAGAGATGCAGACGGGCAGACAAAGTGACAGACATAGAAGAGAGAGAAAATGGAGAGTGAGAGAGACAGTGAGAGAGTGAAAGAGAGATAGGCAGAGAGACGGATAAAGAGACAGACAGACAGACAGAGTGAGAGAATGTATGTAGATGGGCCTGTGTGTGTATCTGAGTGTCCGTCTGTTCTCTCTGTGTGTGTGTATGACCATCTGTGTCTGTTTGAGTAAGGACGTCACCCAGAGTGCAATGGATAAAGGTGTAGCGGAGAGTGAAAGACGAGTGACGGTCGGGAGAATAACAAGTGGAGACAGGAGAGGGTGAGACAGGAGTGGGAGAGACAGGAGAGGGAAAGACAGGAGAGGGAGAGACAGGAGTGGGAGAGACAGGAGAGGGTGACACAGGAGAGGGAGAGACAGGAGAGTTGAGCGTGAAGATAGGAATAGATGACGGTAGACCACCCCCCCCCCCTACCCACCAACTACCCTAAAAACAGGAAAAAAAACAAATTTAAACCAAAATATTTATACCCTAAACCCAGAGACTCTTAAGAAACTTTACACTGACCTCAAATAAACAATAATACCAAGAAAAGACTATAATAAAATTTACAACCTTAACTCTCAGCTATAAGTCATAAATAAAATTGAGTCCAAATTTAGAAGATTTTTTTTTTGAAACTAGAGAAAAAAAATCACCTGGGAGGGAAAAAAAACTGAATATATTTTTTCCAGGTGAGGATTTTAGCCTTTTTTGTGGGTGTGTGTCTGGGGGGGAGGTGAGTTGATTCTAAAAGGAGAAATTCTTTCCTTTGGCTTAACTGTACATTTGGTGGGGAAGACACGAACAAGTAACGAGTGTGTGATGAAAGGTGGAGAATTGCTCTATTGAGGATGGCAGGGGCAGGGAAGAGGTGGAGGAGAAGGGGGGAGAAGAGAGGAGAGGAGGAGGTGGAAGAGAGGAGGAGAGGAGGAGGTGGAAGAGAGGAGGAGGAGATGGATAAGAAGAAGAAGGGGAAGAAGAAGAAGAAGAAGAAGGAGGAAACGAGGAAGAAGAAGAAAGAGGAGGAGAAGGAGGAGGAGGAGGAGGATGAAGAGGAAAAATAGAAGAAGAAAAAAGGAAGAGGAGGATAAAAAGAAGAAAGAGAAAGACGAGGAAGAAGGAGGTAGAGAGGAAGAGGAAGAGGAGGAGGAGGAGGAGGAGGAGATGAAAGAGGCGCTAGTATGGTGTAACAGTGATAAGAGGATACTCACACAAGAGTTATTTCCTTCCTCTTGGTAAATGTTTGTATCATCTCTTCTCTCACCTGTGTCTTTTCCTGTCTGATTATAAATGTTTCTGTCTGTTTATGTATCTTTCTGCCTCTGTCTATTTATCTTTCTGTTTCTGTCTCTTTCTGTTTATCCATTTATTTTTCTGTTTATCTATTTATCTTTGTGTCTCTGTCAATTTATTTTTCTGTCTATTTATCTTTCTGTTCTGTCTATCTTTCTGTCTGTCTATCTACTTATTTTTCTCTTTTTGTCTTTCTCTAAATTTAGCTATAAAATCCTAACTCTTTCTTCAAGACAATATATGACCTTTTCCCCTTAAGAAAAAAAAACTGAAAACAAGACCAAATCCTCTTATATAATTTTCGATGATTACAAAAAAAAAAAAAAATAAATCATCAGTTTTCTATAACACTTTAAGGGGGTAACTTAGTAGTATCTGCATCTCATTTACCCTCATCATTCTAGCTCCCAAACATGATGTAAGGGTATCGTAGTTTAGCTTCGGGTAAGCCTTGGGGTGAGGGGAGACTTTGGCTTAATCTAGGAGGCTATCGTCTTAACCCGAAAGGAATATGTATTGTGAACATGACATAGGGTAAGAGGTGATAACGTACCTATGTTAATTGAGATTATTGATAATTTTACGATGAATAATTACGAATAGTGTAGATATTTATAAGCATATATTGAAATGATTCCTTTATTTTCACTTTCATGGTGTATGTTAGTTATGGTAAGTTATTTTAGTGAGGATATCAAGTAATACGTAAGGTGAAGTCACATTTGCAGCTCTGTCGAAATCGAGTCAAAATTCCTCTCTGGTGTAAACATGATCAAATATTTCCCTTGGATCGTATAAAGATTGAAGAATAACACTACTACATTTTACAGTAATAAATACCCAGTGTTATATTATGTACTTTAAGGAGATACGTTTAAATGTGTAATTCTAAATATAAATATCTTTTACATGTCAGCTACTTCTATCATAACTTATTGAAAACTCCAATAATAACAGACAAACACACACACACACACACACACACACACACACACACACACACACACACACACACACACAACTTGATATTTTTTCCTTTTTCCTTTTTTCATCAAATCTCACGGACGAGCCTTCAATAAAACACACTGAAGACGCCCGTACTCAATATTCCACTAACAGAGTACTTATAAAAGGGCACTGTCCTCATTTTATGTACCTATGTGGAAGTCAGAGTACTTTCTAAGGAGTACTCTCTTGGTTTTACTACTTTGTGAGGTATCGAGTACTTACAAGTGGGTACTCTCTCTCATTCTATATATGAAAGTGGAATTAAGAGTACTCACTTATTACGTTTTCTTACTGTAATAACTTCATGGAACTTTAGAGTACTTATCAAAGAGTACTCCTTAACTTTATACAGCTAAGTGGAACCTAAAGAATACTCATCCACTTTGTACTCCAGTGTGGAATGTTCAGAGTACTAAGTACAAGCTTCTACTCTCTCTCTCTCTCTCTCTCTCTCTCTCTCTCTCTCTCTCATATCTTTATACACCTAGTTTAAACCTGAAGTAACTTCACAGTCTCACCGATCCGTAAGGAGAGAGAGAGAGAGAGAGAGAGAGAGAGAGAGAGAGACTAGGAGATACGTACCTAATTAATATTACGACGTTCACCTGTGATTAATCAGTGTGGCTGTGACGAACACGACCATCGCTTGGGACACATTCACTCACAGCTGGCAATTGTCATGTAAGGAATAGGCCGGAGCTAATTCAACCACCAGCTGCCAATCACTGCAAGATGGTAATTGCAGTAACTCAGGATATGATTGAGATACGACGTGATTGCGGATTAACATACGGCGTGATTGGGGATTAGTATAACACGTGATTGGGGATTAGCATACAGCGTCATTGAGGATTAGCATACGGCGTGATTGAGGATTAGCATAACACGTGATTGGGGATTAGCATAACACGTGTTTGAGGATTAGCATAACACGTGATTGGGGATTAGCATACGGCGTGATTGAGGATTAATATTAGCTCAACAAGGCACTGAGATTTATTTAATTTTACACGTGTATGATTATAAATTTATTAATGAACTAAATTTCCTACCTTTTTCATTGGTCATTATAATAATATTTACAATCAACACAAGAATAATTTAGACACTCGATTATATAAAAATAAATAAATGTTTCTTTAATATCTTTTATATATTTGAGTCATATATATTGTATATTCCTTGGTGGTATATCTACAGTGTATAATAATGTTAGTATACGTACATTATTCTCCCAGGGATGAATATTCTCTCTTTTATTATCTCTTTCTCTCTCTC